TAGTAACCAGAACTAATGACCGTTTGTAAATACTTCTGCTTTAACCAGTGAGCATTTGCACATACTGGCATGCAAGCTGGATAACCAAAGTTAGTTTATACTTAGGAAATTCCACAGTTAACATGGTCTAACTGGATAAAACCTGATTTTCTTACCTTTGACACAAAAAAAAGAAAGCTTTCTGGCTAACAGGCATTCACCTAAGTTTGTGGTGGGAAATAAATACCCCATACTTTTTCCAAATTCTTCCTCATTACTGTTTTTCAGCAAACCCTGCAAAAATGCAGTCATCTGCAGTAGACTTAAAACCAAAACAAAAGCAAGATGGAATTGAAACTTTTTGCATGTCTAAAATCAGATACTCAGACACACAAAAGCAACACACTAGAGATGTTTGCACATGATGACAGAAGTGAAAACATACTCTTGCACATCGGTTTCATTATAAGTATGCCTTCATGTTTGACTAATCTACAATTAATGTTGTCCAGCAGAAAGTGGTTGCTACTTCTTTATTATTGGCATTCTTCATTTATTGTCTGCCTAAGAATAGCTCTCCGATCCAGAATCAGGGACTTAAACTTGGTACTGTCAAATGACATATTAGAAGAAGATAGTTATTATCCCAGACAACTTAAAATCTATTCATTTTTACTTTAATCTTGTTTGATAGGAAAGAGAAAGGGGGAGGAGGGGATGTTAGTCATTAAAAAAGGCAAATTATTTAAAAAATGCAAAACATTACTCTGCAGCCTCAATATCTTCAGAAAATCTTTGTGCAAGTGTATCAATGGGTACCTATGTTAGAAATCACAATCAGCAAGCTAGGACCCACTTAAAACCTGTTTTTCAACTACACACAATTCAGTTTAGCAGAAACTGATAGGAGTTAGCATCTCTGGAAATCACAACTGTTAAACAGAGGCATAAAATTATGCCTTAGAATCTTGTATTTTCCTAATATGAATTTATTTCTGCTCAAGTAAACATCAGGCAGAAAAACACAATAAAGCTGCAGTCCACTGATGTTAGACTATATTAGCCGTACATGGTATAGAAAAATCATAAAGTTTTCAGAAACTTCTGCTTCTAAAAAGAAGCCAGGATTCTCTTGTAAATACCCAATTCGAGAAGCTGGTAACTTAAGAAAACACCAAGTATTACAAATATAACAATATTATAACAAATTCTAGTAATTTTAAATACTATGTCTTTTTGAAATCAGATTTGTTTATGAGCTATGCCAACAGGTGCATCACAGACCTATCCACCATTTACTACACTTGTAATGGTTTCACACACTTTGAAATCTTATCAGAGGGATGGCTGGGAAAGGGGACATCATTTGGATATTGCAGTTATCCTGGTATAAATTCATTAGCTAAGCATTGTGGCTTGCTTCCCACAGTACCAACCTAGAGCATGTTTTCAAATGATTTTGGGGTTTTACTTAATGTCACAACATGCTGGGGCTTATCCAGAGGTTGCTAAGAGTACCCCAAGCCTACTGCTTCAAGCAATTTTAAATGGGGAAAAGAAGGATCTTCTTGTGTACCTGCTTCATCCCACTTGTCATGTAAAGCTTTGAGCTGACATGTCAGACTACTGCTAACTGAGAGCAAGGGGCATTTAAACAAAATAAATACCCTTCAACTGGGATATGCTAACGCAAGTCCTATGCAGGCATTACTAACAGTAAGGGGATTCCACACAGATGCAGTCAATGGCTCATACCGCCTACTCACTGCACAGAGAGGAACTGGAGATAGGGATCACTCCCTAGCCTACTTCAGGTGTTCAGGACACCCAGTCCTATTTCCTCCCTGGATTTTTTTTTCCCTGTACTATGGCAGCCTTTGCATAAGGGGCAAAAGATCTTACCTAGTGCAGAGCTGAATTCTGGTATCACCCCTTATGCCTCGCACCTATTCACATCTATAAGGAAAACTAACACTAACTAAAATGTTGTTATACATAAATAAAAGGAGGGGGAGATAAATAAGGGAAGTACCTGAGAGGATGGGCTGGGAAACAAAACAAGAAAATCCTCAATGATGCAGGCTAGTTCTTAGTGAAACCCAGAGAAAGGAAATGGGGGAGACATGGTGAGAAGCCATGTTCTAGACCAATAACATCACTTTTCCTGCTTTTCTTATCTGATTTAACAAGACTTTCTCTGAGGATAGAGAACTGGGTACTCTGGAATATTCACTGCCGTACTGAAGTCTATGTCCTCATTCTTTACCAAAGTTTCTCTCCTTCAGTTTCTCTATAAACTAAAATAATATAGTTTATATATATGCCTCACTGAGATGTCACAGTTCACATTTATATTACAACACGAGGTGTTGTATTAATGCCAGGTCAGAACAACCAGAAATAAAATCATTTAGAACAACCTGTTACACACCTACAATTAAAATCCTCTGGCACTAAATTCTCTCACATTAGTACACGGACTTGATGGTTTATGTTCAGGACTGCTCACAGTAGGTTACTGGCACTGGTTTACTTCTCCTAATTTCTTAAAAAAAATCCCAAACAAACAAAACCACTGAAAAATGTCACAGATTTATATACAAGGGTACAGACTCCCCCAAACAGGGGGGTAAAAGTTTACCTTAAGAAGTAAGTATGACCTGCAAAACCAAACAGCAGCTATTACTTTCCAATATTGTAATTCCGTGCTCTTCCTAAATATTGCAACACGAAACACTAAATAACAATGAAGTGCTTTAGACATATACATCCATATTTGATATATCAAGCAGACTGAGGCAATAAAAAGTTACTGCAATGCAAAAAAAAAAAAAAAAAGTTCAGTTCCAATGTAAAGCTTGGCATCATTCTTATTTGCCTTTAAATTAACTACGACAACTAGGCTTGCTGGGCATCCCGTGTCGATCCCTTGTCTGCATAATCTTATGTTGGAAACAAGATGAAAAGCTTTTTCTGAATCACATTTTCTTTTTCATTTGAATAAACGTGTGAAGAATGTTTATCTTGTAACCTATGGCAAAACAATTCTTTAACTAGTTCAAACAAATACAAACAAAACATAGTATCAGATGTAGCACCTTTGTGTTTATTTTAAGATGCAAAGCAGTTGCCATGTTTTATTCTAAAAACAGATCCTCTTCAGGTAAAAATCTGAATATACTTGGCAAAACTTAAGACACATAGATTTGTGATTAGTTTATCTTACCTAAAACCAGCTCGCCTTCATTGTTCATGAAACGGACTACCTATCTGCTATACAGACATAATAAATAAACCCTTGAAAAAAAGTTCCTGTGAAATAATGGCTTCACAGACACCACAAGGGAGGGAACTGATAGGCGTTAAACTTGTTAGCAAGGAATGATCAGGCTCTACATGTAGGTCTGATCTCACTCCATTTGAAAACAAAGTCCCTAGATTCAAACAGTGCTAAAAACAGAGAGACTCCTAAATTCTTGACTTTGTAACTTGCAGGTACATATACAATATGCCCTGAATAATGAAATTTTTCAACCTGGCAATAAAAACTGAGAACACAGTTCTGAGAAGAGGCCAATGCCAGGTAGGTAAGTCTTAAAGCAACAATTTAATTGCTGCTAAATGTTTCTAAATAGAAGAAAAGCAGAAGGGTTATTATATTATGGTACTAAACCAAACAAAAGTACAAACACCTCACATCTTTCTCACATAGTTGAACATGGACTTAAAACAGTAGATATTTGGTAAGGGCAGTCAAAGCAAGATAGCAGAATTTTATGAAGGCATAAACTGAGCCAAAACTATCTATTATTTAGATTAGATAATAAGAATAAATTTTTGACCATGAGGGTGTTAAGACACTGGAACAGGCTTGCTGGAGAAGCTGTGGCTGCCCCCTCCCTGACAGTGTTCAAGTCCAGGTTAGACGGGGCTTCTGAGCAACCTAGTGTAGTGGAAGATGCCATTTGCCTGTGGCAGGGGCTTGGAACTAGGTGAGTTTTAAGGTCCCTTCCAACCGGAACTTTTTTACAATTTTATGATTATTTTCTGACTTTACAAAACATACTAATTGGAACCAAAATGGTTAAAAGGTTCTAAAATATAGATTATCGGCTGCTTCTGCAGACTTAAAACAGGCAAAACCAGCCTATTAAAACTTTCTTTTTGGCTCTTATTGAGCATGTAGCTCCACAAATACTCAGTTGACGACAAATAAAAATGAAATTATGAAGCAAGGCACCAGGTTTATTAGTTCAGCTTTAAAAATTACCTTCAGGAACGTAGCAACATATGGTTTGCAAACCAAAATCAAGAAATAAAGTGTACTTACGAATGGACCACGTGCAAATTCATATTTCAGACTGTAAAACACAGAGATCACAGCAGATACCAGCACACAGTCCCTGGCTAGCACGCATCCTCAGCTGACAGCAAAGGCGCACTCTCAGAAACACACCTCTGGGTCTGGGCACCTATCGTGACTACTGTGATGGCCTGTCGTTTCTGAGCGTGTTCTTTTATAGCAAATACTGTTAACATTACTGTTTGCAGCTAAGACTTAGCCTGAAGCTCCCCTTGGATCAAGAACTATCTTTATCACCTTTTTGATGCTACTTTCTACACCGTTTTCTAGGAGCAATCCCTAGTTATGAATGGGATGCAGTGAAAAGAAAGAGCAAGTGACAGGATTACCACAAGCCCCCCAAAACAATGTCCTCCTGGTTTTAAATCGAGACACAGAGGGGAACGGTGCATCTTGTCACGATCTGCATCACAACTTGTTTCACAACTTGTGAAACTGGAGAAAACTGCATAAAGCACAGCAAAAGCCCGCCCTGCAGCCGGCTGCGCACAGGGAACCTGTCACCTCCCGCGGCAAGCTCCTCAGCTCGGTGCTGCCCCGTTTAACGAGCCCCCCTCCTGCCGACCCGGGCTGCGCGACGGGGACCCCCTGGGCTGCATCTGCGGTCCGCTTTCCCTCCCACCCCGCACACGGAACAGCCGGGGCCGGGGGCTCCCACCTTGTTCGAAGCCATTTCGCTGACGGAGTGCCTGGTCTGCAGGGTCTCCAGCTGGTCGAGGCACCAGTCCAGTTCCTCCAGGGTCTCGCTGGCCAGTTTTTGGTAGGCCTCCTCTGCGAAGAGACAGGGAAAGGCGCACTGAGCTCGCAAGCGTTTCACTGGGCTAACAGCTAGCTCTAGTGGGTCCATGCTCCGCTGCCTGGTGCCCACACACGAGAGCTGCTCCCTCATACTGTCAGCCCGGGCAGCGAGCAGAGCGGCGCAGCGCTCCGTCTCGGAGCCACCGAATCGGCGAGCACCTGCGCAGGCAGAAACTTTGCTCCGGCCGCGCTCGCCGCCCGCCTCCCTTCCCTTCCCTTCCTACCCTCCCTTCTCTTCCTTTCCCTCTCCCGCCCCGGGGCTGCTTCGCCGCCCCCTCGCGGGCAGCGCCAAGCGCCGAGCTCCGCGGGCGCGCACGGCTCCGCGGGTTGGGGTAGGTGAATGAGCGCAGCCGAGAGTCTGCGACCACCGCGCCCCCTGCTTCGGCCGCTCCGGCCGCTTCGCCGCTGGCACAGCTGGCGGGATCCACCGCCTTCCCCGGCACCCCAGGTTTATAGCGAGTCGCCGTCCTTGCACTTGTTTACATACCCTCCCACCGGGGTATCATGGGAATTAATTGGTCCGCATTTACAAAGCGTGGTGAAGATGCAACAACACGTGAGCGCCTGGGATAAGGATGACCCACGAGGTACCAGCTGTTTGCGGAGTGCTCTAGTAACTGCTCTAACCCATGAGTCTCTCTGTATTACTGACTGTATGCACGAAGCATCATATGCTGGCTGCAAGATAAAAAAAGTGCCGACAAAAGTTTTATACCTGGACCCCCCCAGCAACACAATATGGGATGTGGACCCAATACAAGAAATCATAGTTTAACAAAAATCACTGGAGCTAACGATCTTAAAATCTGCTTTAGTTTCACTTACATTCACTTACAGAAAGTCATTCCCATCTTCAATAACTTTTCAACAGTAGGAGATCTGCTGTTGAATAAAATCCCATTTTGCATCTCCAGGGTGCAAGCTTCACCTACAAAGCCTGGCTTTTTTTCTTTTTATTTGATTTTTCTGGTGCAGATCAAATGAGGAGAATGCTTCTCCACACTGAACTCAGAGCAAAGTGATTCTCAGCTGTCTTGTAAGCTGGGTACCTGAAACATCAAGTTCTGAAACTCCTGGCATGGATGCTTCTGGATCAGCTGAGTGAAACATAATTCCCAGGTAGAGAAAAGTTTGTTCAGTGGGCTTGTTACTGTCATCTGAAACATCTCCCTTACCTTGTTTCACATCAAAGTAACCTGATTTTCCAAATGTCAGACAAACAAAAAATCAGGCAAATTAGCTAGAACTCCTTTTAAAAACACCCCAGCATGGACTACTATCTAATAGCTCAGTGCATTACTATTCAGCGTTCAGTATACTAGATTTGTATCTGCTCATATTTCAGAGTACAGGCTCAAAAACTTTGGGATCCTTCAGAGCTGTTAAACTTTGCATACTTGTGGTTATTGGAAAAACGCATCACAATTTTGCATAATGTTCATTCACCCCTGGGAAGAAAGGCAATGCAAGAACAAGAAATCTGTATTGAGATTAATTGGCAGAAAGATTAAAGACAATTTTGCAGTGCCTGCCTGTATCATGGTTAACCTGTCACTTCAGCACAGACACTAACCGATACTCAACAAAAAAACATCCTCACTGAATTGTGAACACTGTCCTTCAGATGTGTCATACTTACTATAAACAGTATCTGATCCAAAAGAATTCCCTTGGCAAATAAAGTCAGGCTTTTCCAGCCTGTTTATCCATCAAAAGAGAATATGCAACGTTCTGCAACACAGCAGACATCACAGCTCACTAGTTCTTGAACATGGCTAGTTCACTGAAGTCACAGTGTAGATTTCATCAAAATCAGTACTGGAAATAGAAATAACTTTGCTTATAATATGTTTGTAAGTGTACCATGTTAAATGTGGTTAATGTATGCATAGCTATCTTGATGACCTTATAAAACGATTTCATTGAGGATAAAACACATAATAAAGTGAGGTGAAATGAATCCGCATGATGTTATTATGCTGCTAGCCTGCAGCCTGCCCTTCAGCAGTTCTTGAAAATCAGATATGGGATACTTGTGTTTTTATTCACAAGTAAACTTCATCCCTTCTAGTACTTCAGAGAGTAAGAGGATAAGGTTTTTCCAAGAAGTATGAAAACAACAAAATAAACTTGAGGGATACCATAATTAGGTAAAAGTAATATAGGTCTCCAATTATTATTTAGTCTAAAACTTATTTTTCTTGTTATCCATGTAACAATAATCTGTATCTACCAACAGCGTCTTCCATTCAGAAATCCTTACCTACTATGCACCTTCCCAGTACATCTCAAAACACGTTAGAAAGCAGAATAAATAACTCACAAAGAAGTCCCATCAGTCCTAGGATAACCTGTTTCTCACAATCCATCATTTCCAAATCCCACATTTTCACAGTCTGTGGCTGCCGTGGGGACCCCACTTACCACTCTTACCAAGTAAGCTTCTGACGACCAATGCTAGGGTAAAGCCTTGCTGGACTCAGCCTCTCCTGCTCTTCCGAGAGTTCTGTGGTGGAAGAGCTTGTCAGACCAGCTTAAATAGTGTATTAGATAGCTACCTGGTGTTGTGGAAGGTGTCCCTGACCATGGCAAGGGGGTTGGAACTAAATGATCTTTAAGGTCCCTTCCAAATCAAACCATTTTATGATTCTATGAAATGGAAATTAAAGAGTTTCTAACTGGTGACAAAGTACCCATCAAACAAGCACACCACTTTGCTCCTGCAGTTCTGAATGGCAGAACAACCACAGGAAAGCTTTTTTCTCAACAGTACTGAACTAAATTTGGGCCACACTTTTGTTGTTAACACAGTATGGTAGAAAATGTTGTCGAGGTAACATCTTTTCCAGTATAACACTTGGTCACCTAAGCTAAGAATCAAAAAATAATTATCGACAGTGCAGCCTTGACAGCTTCACAACACTATTCCTGACCTCTGTTATCTCTAAGGTAGCACCCTGCAATTATTCCCAGCCAAGACTCACCTACTGATCAGTTTTTATAGTATAGGTACCTGATGGAAGTTCCCTCCAACCCTCCAGTGATGAAGTCCTAAATCAGATTTATTTCTATTAATAAGAGGGGTTTTTAAAGGTTCTTTTTCTATCTCATTAGGCTTTAATAAGAGGTAAATACAGTTTAACACCAGTTACTTTAACAATGTGCATGCTATTTCATATCTGATTTTTACAAAAAAAAAGAAGATATAGCAAATGTTCTCCTTACAGTTCACAGATCAGTACAAACAATTCCACCACATGTAGCTTTTAAGTACAGTGCATAGGGAAAAAAAAAAAAAAGCAAATGAAAGGCTAGCAGAAAGAAAAAGCTCAGCCATAATCACCTGGCACTGCACACTTATTTTTATTTTAAAGGGTGTTCTACTGTCTGTTCTTATAATAGACTTGATTCTTATCACAGTTCCTAACACAGCCTTCACACCCTTATTCACGAACAATTTCTGTTAAAAATTTTACATGGGGAAAATTACTATATGGCAAGAATTAGGAAGAGTTCCTTCTTACAGGTTCATAATGATTTTCATATATGGTGTCCTATTATTCCCAGAGAACAAAAAGCAATACTAGACTTTTCTACTAAAACTCAAGTGTATTTGTACTAACTTAGCAGCACTTCAAGGAATTTCAGCACAGCAGAAAGAAATAAGTACAGATTCTTCAATGTTGTCTGATCAGTTGATATTATCTGAGTGATGTGAAGCAGCTGAAGAAAAGTTGACTCAGCACATGCACAGCCAAGGCCTTTGATCACTGTGTTGACTTAAAATTGGATTTTGTTGGGAATAAGACAAGGCCACTGCTGAGCAATGGCATGATCCAGACAGATAGGATTGGCATGTGTTTTATCTTTTGGGGGACAGGCAGCTGGAGGAAGCTCTGGAAATCTCCACCCTACTGAAGGTCTACTGTGAGACTTGGACCCTGGACATTTTCCCTGATTTTTTTGACTGTATTTTTGCTCTTTACCCAGTGTAAAACTCAAGAGTTTGGAGTAACAGAATTGCGGGGTGAGGAGTTTCAGTTTATCTTACTACTACAGCATTTAAAAAAAATCCTCTGTGGTTTAAACTAAGAATTTTTCTCTAAATGAGGATGTTCCTACTTACAGCCTTAACTGATGGCCTATTGAAGTGACTGACATTTTAGTCAATGTTGGCACCTTCTATTAAACGTAGCCATATTAACAGTAATTCAGTGCAGAAATAGCATCTGTTTTCTCAATCACCCATTTTACAACTGAAAAAAAAATCATTTTTTTTTTTTAGGTTTTACTGAGGAAAACATACACATTGTGATTTAAAGGCTATCTATGTCTTACTACTGATAAAATGTGATTATGAACGACATTTTTGTTTAACCTGTAGAGATTTGCAGACATCCCTCCACAATCAAAAGTAAAGCAGAATACTCTTGATCAGATTTGGAATGAGCGTCTGCGAAGAGAACTCAGCTGCAGCAGATTTCTCAGAAACTGTTTTGATGGTCCCATTCTGAACATCACTTTCTTCCAGGAAATCTCTCCAAGCTTCCACTTTAGTGAAGAAAAATCCTTTGTACTGTAAGGTTAGTATTAGTAGCCTTGTGCATAGACAGACTGTGTACAAATGACCAGGACTACTCTCCTTCCAGGATGTGATGAGCTGCAGGACTCCCCCCACATATTGTTTTATACAATGCCAGTAGCACTAGCATTAGGCTATGGAAACTGCTTTATCTCCTTGAACAGAGAATGTAGGAACTTCCAGGAAATAATAGGAGCAAAATGATAAAGTCCAGTTATGCACAACTTGTCAAAATACTTGATTACACTTCTGTTATAGAAAGGGACTGTTTAAAGATATACACAGGCAAAACACACATTAAAAGAGGATCTAGGAAAAAAGGTAGGCTTTTCCCCCAACATTTTGTATTTCTCTCGTGGCCTCAGAGAAATCCACATATGTCACATAACAA